TTAACTACTGTAGAATACTTTATTTTGGCTTGGAATTAATTTTCACGAATGATTCAGTGAAAATAAAATCCAGTGAATATAACTTTTTCCTTATATTTTACATTCAAATCCATACAAAATCCATACAAAAAAACGAAAAAGTCTATTCAGCGAAAATTAATTCCAGCTAAAATAAAGTATACTATTAGACGTTCTGTTATGTAATTTTGAATAAATAAACAATTACCTTGCAAACAGAAAGCCTCTTCCACTGGTCTCAGTTGCTCATCTCCTTCAACAATGCAGTATACCTGTCTCCTCTGTTGTCCAGCACCGCAAAGACCTTCATTATTTAGTAACCGACATTGTCCCCACTCAAGCTCTGTGTGCCACTTATACAGGGGGCAGAGTGGTAAGTCTCTGATATCGCAGTGTCGTTTTTCAATCAGCGGCAGGCACGGTAGTCCACCATACTCGGGCAATGTCGTGATCTTGCGTGTCCTCTTTTGAATACCTGTGTCGTAGTTTGTGTGGCTTCTGCATGTTTTTGAACACTGGCTCCATTGTGTCCACTCCGATACCATACAATCACATGGCAAATCACATGCTTCTTTATTCCCTGGCTTTCCCTCACCTACAAAGTTTAGAAAAAAAAATTAATATTTAGCCAAATTATTTTGATTCAAATAACTCATAGGTGGAACATTATTCATTGTCAATTCAACAAAAACAACAAAATTATCCATACTTTAAAGCGCGAGGTCGACGCGCAGCGTGTGTTCGAATTTCATGTAAATAAACAATGTATTTTACACGCATTGTATACGTCACTATGAGTCCCATATCGAACAGGACGCGGCGCAACGACTACCGCCCTTTAATTATGGGAAAAATTTTGTTTTCAGTAACATCATTGAATTATCCCGTTTGGATAAAATAATCATGTCTAAACAAATAAATTGGCAAAAATTTGAAATTAAAAGTTTATTCATGAAGTTTCATTTCAATGCAAGACATCTGCCTATTATTTTGTATTTTAGTATAAAAGGAACTCATTTAGTATTCAAATTCATGAATATCACTAAAAGGTCATGACCTGATCCTAGAGCACATTCATATATGCATATCATGCTTGATTCAAAAAATATTAAAATAACCCACGATGATATCTTCTGTGACATGGCAGTGTGCACATACTATGTAACTAGCACATCTGGGACTGCAGACTGACAAGCAGAGAAAAATGCCCCCCCCCCCAAAAAAAAAAAAGAAATCCCAGCATCTTGTAGAAGTTTTTGAGCACCTTGTTGTAAAAAAATTTTTAATCATTTTGTTTACAATAATTCTTTTATAAAATTACAACCTAGAAAAATGGAAACATGCAGAAAATATCACCACGTAACCACCATCTTAATGTTTAGTCACAGGGAAAATCCCAGAAAGCTCAGTGGAATCCATTGTGATGTACATTGTACCACAGTTCCTCCAGTTGTGATTGTACCACAAAAGTATCACATTCATAATTTATTTTCCATCATTTAATTCTTTCTGTCTCTGTGCTAACTAATTCAGGAAATACACTGAAGTACTGCAGGCAACATATCAGTACTTCTAGTATTTGATAAGTTATCAAGATGCTTAAAGACACAATGTATGTCATCAAATACATCTGAATTATTTACATGCAGTCTGCACAAACATTCAAAATAAGAATAACAAATTGGAATTATACATACATCCACAGTTCACTAAACTCACTACACTAAATAAAGACACATATTTGTTGTATACCAGTATTAATTTAATTAAAATGTTCCTTTTTCACAAGCACCCAATATATATGCTAAACTGTAATAACATATACCGTAAAATCTGTATTAGAAGCCGCATCCCTAATAGAAGTCGCACCCATCCTTTTTGAATAATTGAGAACGAAAAATTCATCATTTCTCATATGTTTAGGTGCTCTAATAGAAGCCGCATCCCCTCTACTGCATTGTACCATTTTAATAGAAGCCGCGGTTTCTAATACAGATTTTACAGTACTGTAGAATACTTTATTTTCGCTTGGAATATATTTTTGCTATTTTCGTTGAAGGGAATATATTAATTCTATACTATACTATTTCCTATATTTCACATTAAACTCATCAAAAATCAGTGAAAATAAATTCTTAGCAAAAAGCCCCAAAAGCCCTTTTAGCAAAAATTAATTCCAGCGAAAATAAAGTATTCCACAGTACATATGTTATTTTATATGTATTGTATATGTATTATATGTATTAAGAGTATATTCACTCAGGGTTATCAGAAAATATAGTTGTACCAGGCTAGATTTTCAGATATTGAAATAGAATAATAATTAGTTAGATAATATAGATATTGGCATGCAAACATATGGGTGGTTATAGTTACATGTAGATACATGTATTAGATATAGATTCACTTATCATATGAACAATTTAGTATCCAGGTGTTCCTATTGTCTTATCTGCAGTAATACTGTGAGGTAATTGTTTCATACTATGCAATATACTTTGACTCCGCTGTAATTTTTTGACCCTGTGTTATTGTTTGAACCAGAAATATCAACAGCACACAGATGACATCTACAAATCTACATGTATAACATCTTTTTTTCTGCAACTGTTCCAGTGTTGAACACTTCAGTAATTCATGTGTTCATTATGGATACCGGTAGTAATCATTTCAGGCAATATTTCATTTATTTTCTCCAGAGAACCAACAGCATTTACAAGTGAAGTGAACAAGTTGTTCTTGTTTACCTTGTTTTATGGTAACAGTCTTGGGTAATTCCATTTCCTATGCTTGATATTTTATAAATGTACACATTCATTGCAAAAATTCCCCAAATATCTAACATTATGCTTAATTTGATTCAGTATTTCAACAATTTAAATCGTATAATGTTCGACAATATATCCCTCATCAGATATCACTATATTCTTCAATGATTATAAGTGTGCATCTGTCAAATATGCATACTGTGCTCTTTTGTCTACCACAGATTTTGACCCTCTACTTTTCATACTCCTCTGCTACTCTGAACAGTTTTTTTCACTAATACAAATGCAAATTTAATTTCATGGGCGTTAAATTTCACTATTTCGATGCTTTGAGCAATTTCACTGGGCTTTAATTTAAATTCCTGGACTTGGCAGAGAAACAATGACTCCTATTATACATGTTCACATGGATTTAATTTAGTGGATTTCACTTATCATGGAAATTAAAATCAGCAAAAAATCAGTGCATTTACAGTATGATAAAGCAGTAATTAATAGCTAATACCGAGGATAACATGTGGTATTGCTCAAAGCATTATTGATATTTTTGCTTGCACTACACATTCAAATACTATACTGCTGCTTGCAGAAACATCAAATTTACAGACTGATTTTTATAAATTAATTATTATTTATTTATTAAATCTTTATTGCAGTATATAAAGTGAAAAGTTCGTACATCCCATATTAAAAAAAACGAATACATAAAAAAAATTTGAATAATAAATTCATTGTTCTAGCGTAGCTGTGGCGTATACATAAGTTTACGGTACAGAACATAAGACTTCGAACATCAATGCGTGTCTGATGTTAAAAGCACTGCAACGATTCTATTATCACTTTTAGTTAGACGTATATAGAGTGAAAAAATCATTCGTCTAAGAGCATCAAATGTGGGAATTATAAAATATTTAAAGCTACAAGTTAAATTTTTATTGAAAAAATAGTTATATTTTCAGCTGATTTCACATCATTATTAAGGTGGTTTCAAAGACAGTTCCAAGCATTTATGGACCTGCACACAGACAGACAGACAGACAGGTAATGACAGAAAGCCCAAAAAGAAAACCTGCATGAAAATAAATGAATAACAACCAAGTACATTTGTACATGTACAAACCTTGACAGCAGTCACATGTAAGTTTGAATTTAATCAGTTTGGATTACAGACTAAAAGGCCGGTCTCAGATCAATGGGTGAATTAAAAACTACACAATCAATTTGGAAACCGGCCAATGGTTAGATGAGATCGCGGCCATTAAAAATTTATCCCGTTTTAATGATTGTAAGATTGAATGGAAGCAGGATTCAAGGCAGCTCCCATGTTCCTTCCTGTTCTGATACTTTTTTTATTTGATGTTATCATGAATCATTGATAGTTGCTCTAATAGTGAAGAGTACCATATGGGTTTTACATGTATACATCCAGATCATATCAACATTTTGGTCCTTCTTTCATTACCACCCACAATGTTTGTTTCTTTTTCTTTTACAAATAATTTAATAAATTACATGAATTTTTCTACAATATATTATGTGTATAAATATGAAAATCTTTACATGAAACGTTGAACTATGTTTAATTGGAAACTAAAATATTATTTTTTGCAGTACAGCAAAATAAAATTCAATTGATGGAAATAATGAAACACATGATTAACAGTACCGTAACCATTGCAATACAATTAGAGATTATTGTGCTTCTGAGTTGCTATTAAAAGTTGGTTTCTTTCAATTGTTTGACATTCACTCACTTTTTCTATAGCAAAATTCAGGTAGCACACACACACACAAAATCCGGTAGTTTAAAAATTTCTAAAAAAAAAAATTTAAAAAAAAAAAAAACATTTTTACAAAATCTACTAAATAGGTATCACGCACAGAAATCAAACATTAAGATTTTTTGACTTCACAGGACAGCTAGGAATGCTTTCAATGGTAAAAAGTTGAGCCAACAAAACTAAACCAACCATCACAGAATTCCTTTTAATCCGGTATTTACCTTCAGGCTTCCAGGATTTTTTTTTAAGATGCCATGTAAAATAAACAACTTTTTTATTTTGATTGTGCATGCAAATAAAAATCCAGTACTTCAAAGTGTAACAGAATCCACAGATCACCCGTTTACATTTGTCAGTACCTATTAGTTACTCCTGTGACTTATTTGCACTTTGACCACCTGGGGATCTCCATACAGCTATTCCTATTTTTCTCCAACAGTGATACAACACAGACTACACTGGTTCTTCAGGGGGAAGTTCTAATTATGTTTAGAAATCTTCAAATTTCCTTGTAGACCCAATGGGAGAGAGAGAGTGGATTTCTCCTCTTCCTGTGCGGTATAGCCCTGGGAATGCCAAGATCAAGGATTTTTCCGGAAAGTTTAAGACTTCCTGACATGATGGAATGAAACATTTTGCTTCAGAAGCCCACAGGGAAAAGGGTCTTACATAGCTGTTAAATAGTGACGTTGATGATACTCGTTGATGATACTCGTATGCGATATGTTCTCTCTGTGTGGCATCTACACACTGTAAATGCTTTAAATTTCCTCTGTGAGAAATGAACACGATTTCAGGATTTTTTACGGCATTCATGAAAGTCGTTGACGCTTCATGTCACAGACTCGCGAAAATCTTGAAAATTGATTATTGAAAAATTAAAGAGGTTTACGGGTAGTCATGTTTGAAAGAGTGAGAAAAAAATATTATTTTTCAACAAAAAAATTCAAAATTGAAATTAAATTGAAAGAGTTGTTGATATGCAAATATGGTTGACTAATTTATAAAAATTGTGATAAAATAGATTGTCCAAAAAAAAAAATTAT